ACTCCATGGCACGCAACTCCTAGCTTAGGGACTATCTCTTATCCAGCATTTTGCATTTTTGCATTTACACAGTAATGATGTATGTGTGGCAGTAACAAATGCCAAGGTACAAGGCGGAGAGGACTCTGGTTGTGATGGTCAGGGGTCACCTCGGCTGGGCCCTGACTCTCAGTACTTTGGCAGCTGTGCAGTGATGTGATTTGACAGTTACACGATCTGATGTGGGCACCCTCCATTTTCACATGCTGCTGATTTTCCCATAACAACCTAATCAAAGGTTAGGCTGCTAACTCCTTTGCCTGGAAAATATTCCTTCCATTCTGAGTCAGATTTGTATGCTGTTTTCTGACTTAACAAGAATGGGATTCAGATGTTGGCAAGAACCGAATATAATATGCTGGGTTTGGGTGTGATATATTAGTGGTACTATAAGGCCTTGGTTGCATCTCAATGTCAAGAAAACAAAAATCCTCACCACTGGACCAATAAACAACATTCTTATCAATGGAGAAAGGATTGAAGTTGTCAAGGACTTCATTCTTCTTGGATCAACTATCAACACTCGCGGAAGTAGCAGTCAAGAGATCAGACAACGTATTGCACTGGGCAAATCTGCTGCACAGGAACTTTTTAAAGTATTGAAGAGCAGAGATGTCAGCTTGAGGACTAGGGTGCGCCTGACCCAGGCCATTGTGTTTTCAATAGCCTCATATGGATGCGAAAGCTGGACAGTGAATAAAGAGGATCGTAGAAGAATTGATGCCTTTGAGTTGTGGTGTTGGAGGAGAATACTGAGGGTGCCATGGACTGCCAAAAGAACCAATAGATCTGTTTTGGAAGAAGTGCAGCCAGAGTGCTCCTTGGAGGCCAGGATGGCTAAGCTTCGTCTCTCCTACTTTGGACATGTAGTCCGGAGGAAACAATCGTTGGAGAGGGATGTCATGCTGGGTAGGGTGGAGGGTCAGAGAAAAAGAGGAAGACCTCCAACGAGATGGATCGGCCAGGTGGCATCATTGATGGACTCGGGGGTGGCAGCGGTGGTGAGGTTGGCCCAGGATCGAACATTGTTTCGTTCTGCTGTGCATGGAGTCGCTATGAGTCGGTTCCGACTCGATGGCACCTGACAACAACAACAACATAAGGCCTTGGGGTATCTTTCTAGATTTTTGTTCTAATATAACAAAGACAGTTAATTAGTATCCAAGCCAGTACTTGTGTGTTCCTTAATGTTTCTATCTCCTCCTTGGGTCAAGGGAGTTGCACTCAAAATGAAAGTGGTAGAGGGAGAGGCAAAACCAAAATGGAAAAGAAACGCTCTGTTTTATAACTTACTTCATCTCTGAATCACAGACATCACCTCATTAAAATGAATCTCATGTGTGCATCTGTGTTCCTGGCTAGCACTTTACAGGGATTTACCCTGATGCCTAATTTCTAAGTACCCTCTGAGGGGGGCGGCTCTTGCCTATATTTTGAGGCTTAATTATCCATGCCGAATGACTCTTTGTTGGTTGTAGTCTGTGCTGATCTTTTCACTTATTCCAATCTCAGACTGACTGAGGAGGAAAGACGGGAGGAGGTGCTCTGCTGTCCATCAAACATAATCCTTGGATTCCTACCTGGTTGTCTAAAAGTGAAATCAAATGCCATTGTGCTGATTCATTTGCACAAATCATTCTGAGCTTCCTTATGTGGACCATTTGTTTTGTGCTAAGTTTCCCATGCCATCGGACAGGATGTTTCTAACATGAAATAATATAACCTTTTATATTCTCATGGTTTTGTGTGTGTGTGTGTGTGTGTGTGTGTGTGTGTGTTTTAGTGCCTGTTTTGTTTGTTTGTTTCATTCCTTTCACCTTTTCCAGCCTCTCTCCTCAATGGGTTTTCAAGGCCACAGGCTGACTCACCCTTGACCCTCTCTCTGCCCCACAGCTCGATGTGCTGGATGCAGTGCTAAAGGCTCTGACTTGTCCAGCTGATGAGTCTCCAGAGGAACAGTCCCAGGAAGGTAAAGACCACCAGGGAGCAGAAGACCTGGTGGAACATTTAGACATAGAGGAAACCGAACAGTCCAAGCTCCCCGAGTACCTGGAACGATTTAAGGTACTGTGTGTTCAACATGCTTCTGTGCTTTGGTGACAGGCAAGCAGTTCTTTCGTGCATCAATGTCACACACAGAGACATTAAAAGCTGACATCAAAAATTACATTTTTATTGCTTCACACAGGATGTGGTCTTAAAAGAAACAAATGGCATTTTTATGCTCCTTTTTGCACTTGAGCTAATCGGTCACAGTTTCGTTCACTAAGGCAGCGTGTCATTACCCACTCATCCCTGACGTATCTGATGATTGAAGGCCTGATGGGTTGGTAATAGCTTGCCTACTCACAACAATAGGCTGACTCCAAACCATGGTGGAAAGTATCTGACCATTGCTCCATATTGCATAAGATTTGCTTGATAATCCAGACAGGAATTAGGAAGCCACGTTCAACTCTGAGGGAGAGAGACAAGATGGGGGCATCTTTTGGGATTTTTTTGCTCATATTTGCCAGCTTTATGCTGTCCACTAGGCCCTTAGAAATATTCTCTTCCGTAAGATGAAGATGCAAACAAGTTTGAACTGTTTCTTTCAAGAACAACAGCTCTGAACACTCAAGTGCCTTTGATATCGTTCATCTGCACTTCCCAAAATACTCTGTGAGCGGCATTAGAAGAGTCATATTCAGAGTTTAGCTTCTTGGCTTCTTTCTTGTTTTTGTTTTTGTTTTTTTTTCTGGTGTGCTTAGTGCAAAGAGAAAAACATGCTGCCCGTGTGGGCATTCTTTGAGTATAGTACAAAACCTTACTGTGCCAGCTGACCTGGTATGTCATTTTGAGACAGAGAGATCTAAACTTTACTAGATGATTACGTTCCTATTCAGCAGGTGTCCTGAGTTAGCTATGGAGAACCTATTTCCTTCTTTTGTAAGGGGAGCCTATTGTATTTTTAGCAAATGTTTCTCCTAGTCCTTCTCTATTTGCATAATTTGAAACAGAGAGGGCAATTTTTCTAAGACATACTGCGAATCGGCAGCAGAACTAGATTGACAGTTTGCTACCTGTCCTTTTAAATTTGCCTTTGAACTTTGAACCCACAGATTATCGTTCACATTGAGCAAGGTTGCCATGCCGTTCTTTCTCCTGTTTCCTATGTAATTAGTCTCAGAGAGTACAAATCTATGCCTAGAGTAAATACTCAGCTCCCACTCTTTCCACAAATGCATTTTTATCAAAATCAAAAAGAGAGAGAAGAGTATCATCATTCATTTCATTCATCTTCACAAAAGCTCTGGATGGTGGATACTGCTCTTCTCACATTACAAGACACCAAAGCTAGAGAAACTATCCCACAATAAGACTTTGGGTTTGAACAAAAGTTTGCTGAGCCAGTGTTGAGTCCTTGTTTTGATGTCCTACGCTGTCTCCTTGGCCTTGAACCACATGGAGAGCAGTCTCAGAAGATCAAATCATTGTGCATTTCCTTTTCTTTTTGTGGCCTGGTTGTTATTAAATAGCATCATTTCTTTGGGGACCATTTTTATGTAACTGACCCGTCAGTCAGCCTCTGGCCATTCTTTGAAGTCCGAGGACCCTGCCCACCTTGCACCCCCTTGGTTGAAGTAGACCTCATCACTTATGCCAATTGATTGCATTTGTTTGTGGATACAGGGATGTGGTATAAGCCACAGCTGGGGCCAGAAATGGCTCTCTCAGATGATTTCCGTCTTGCAGCACTTAAGTAGATTAATGTTTTTAATACTTTCCTCTTGCAGGAACACAATACCAAGCAAACCAAGCTGCCATTTCAGATGGAGCTGTAAGCAAGTCAGTATGTAAAGGCTGACCTGCCGTGGAACACAGCAGGTGGAAGCTTATAATAGTACATGCACTCATGGGAGCTGTTTAGCATGCCATTAGTAAGAAATCCTTGAAATGATTTCCATCTGTTGAAAGGATTACTAGTAAGGCAAACATTTATCTCAGTTATTCTGAAGGGAAAGCTATGGATGGGCCTCTGTTTCTCATCTGCTTCTGCCATTTTGTTTGCATCTTAGAAGTCTTTGTTCTCGGCATTTGCTGCTTGGTTTGGGTAGGTCAGAAGTGGCAACCGTAGAGCTGTTAAACTGTGCTGTCTTTGTGATGGCTTAAAACAACTGATACAGAGAGTCACAAGCATATGAAGTGCCATTTACTTAGCTAAATAGAGGGGTTAAAAAAAAAAAAGAAAATAGGCAAAATCTGTGTCTGGATGAACGACTGACTGCCTGACAGATTCCCAACATGGCTTCTTGTGTTACAAGCAACATGCACGGGTGTTTTGCAAGTAATTGAATTTCTTTTCCTCTATATTCTTTTCCCACCTGTTCCCTTTTTTCTTTTTTTCCTTCTTTATTTCCCACAGGCTTTACGTGCTAAGCTACAGGCTCTGGGCAAAGTTGAGTCCGAAAGCCTCTTGACTCTGACCACCCAGCTTGTCCAGGACAAGCTCTCGACCTGTGAAGCCGCAGACATGGCCGACTATGAGCAGAAACTGCAGCAGTGGCACCTGGAGCAACTACAGTTAATCCAGAGGGAGCAGGAACAGAGGGAGAAAGCGAGACAGGAGCATCAGGCTCGGACAGCGGCAAAGGCCTCTGTCTGACGTGGCCTCAGATGCCCCGACTCCTCCCATGAGATCTTCACTAGGCCCCTTCGTATGATTTAACGGTGACCAGGACGGCAGCCTCAGCTTCCTCCAGCTGTCTTCAGCTTTTCTTACAGCAGGCCAATGTGGTATCCAAGCCAGAGTGTGCTCCTAGGACTGAAGAAACAACACCTGAGACAGAGGGGCTTTACAGCCGAGAGCAGCACATGGCCTTACCAACCCCAGCCACTGATTTGTGTTTTCAAGATTGTCACATTACACTTGACATTGTGACTTTGGAAGCTCTTCAGAACCTGCCTTTCAGGATTAAGTCTGAAGGGAAGCCGTCACACCCCCTGCCCATCCAGATGCCAAAAAGGGCCATGAAACTATGAATGTGGCACCTGGTTGAACTGGGCTCTCCAGCTGAATACCTTAGCAAGGCTCTTGACCCTTATGGTAGAGTTCCTGGGGGATACAGATGAACTTTGAACATTGAAAGTTCTTAATACCAAGTGCTGGTGGTAGGAAAGAGTAGGTGACTGAAGTAGCCAGTCTTTTGAATGGTCTCCTCTCTCCCCAGCCGGGATGACCTGCAAGTCCTAAGACCTTGTGCCCCAGTCTCTCCAGTGAGCTTGCTCATTCCCACTTTCTAATTTCAACGCATCTAGACCAGGCTGCACTGAGAAATCTCACAAACCAGGAAGGAACTGGCTTGATTTCAAATTTCAACAACCTTAAGTAGCATTTTTAGGATGGAAGGTCTTTTGAGAAGGAAGCTGTCCCTAGCTGTGGAGCCGCCTTGATTTGGCTTAGCCATTGTGTTGGGTTGATGTGCTTTTCCTGAAAGCATTTTGTCAACTCAGCTATTTCAGCACGTACACACGTGTGCACACACACACAACTTGTGAATACACATTTCCATTACGAACGTTGAAGAGGAGAGCTGGGATGGGGTTTGAAATGGGGACATGAATAATTGTAAAAGTACCAAGGGAGGTGGAAACCGTCTTTCTGAAATGTTTCCTCTGATAGGGGTGGAGGGACAGCTTTCGCATGCTGTGTAATTTTTAAGTAGAGTGGTGTCATTTTAGTAATGACTGTGCTCTTTTGTCAAGAACCTGTGAAAATAAACACTGTTAGATGATTTTGGTGTGTTATCTTTTGGGGGAAAGGAGACAAAGAATCTTATTATTATTGTTACTATGATTTTGAGCAACATTTTCAACCCATGAAGTTTATAAAAACAACAAGAAACATGTATTGAGCACTGTGCCCTCAATTCACACCCTTTGAGGGAGGCACTATCATCTCCAGCTTATGAATGAGAAAACGGAAGCTGAGAACTCCTTTGTCAATTGCAGCTACTCTGCCAGGCATACTGCTGCCCTGTTGTTTTCAGTTGCCGTCTAGTCAGTTACAACTCCTGGTGACTCCGGTGTGCAGAGCAGGACTGCTCGAGAGGGTCTTCAAGGCTGTGACCTTTTGGAAGCTGATCACCAGGCCTGGCTTCTGAGGTGTCTCTGGGTGGGTTCCAGCTGCCATCCTGTCGGCTAGCAGTCACGTGCTTAACCGTTTCTTCCACCCAGGAAACTTGCGGCTGTCTGTGAGGAGCTGTACACAGTTGTGGAACTAAAGCATTAAAAAACAGTGCAATTTTCCCATAAACTTCCTGAAGCCACCTACCAAGAGTTCAATATCTAACATTTTGAGCCCTTTGAGTCTTATTTAGTCAAAGGGTGATGGCTAAAAGTCCATTCTGTTGTTTTAGTTTAACTGTTGCTGTATGAAGCCTGTTACTTTCAAGGCAGTTCCGAGACATGGTGACACCCTGTTTTTCCAGAGTAGAACTGCGACGTAGGGTTTTCTTGGTTATAACCTTCATGGAAGCAGATCCCCAGAGTGGATTTGAACCACCAACCTTTAGGTTAGTAGTCAAGCCACCCAGGGGCCTTTGTTGCTGCAGGTAGCATTAATGCTGTAGCTTAAAATTGGCCTCCATCCTTTCTCCTCATCTGTCTGTCACACTCCCAGTTCTCCCCAAACAGAGACCACTTCTGCCACGTGCTGCTGTCCCAAGAAGGAGTGTCCCTGCTCCTGGAGATGCCTTCCACAATTGTGTATGTAGAAACTCTTCCCCTGAGGAGCCCTTCCTCCACATATACTTCCCTTTCCCTATGCTCTGGTCTACTGAACCGCCGCATCTGCTCTCCCACCTCCTTGATGACTGTAAGATCTGACCACAATCATCCTCTCTCCTTTACCCTGATATCACCCTCTCTGTCTCATCCAGGTGAAGGACACTAGCAGCCTGGACTTTGGCAATGGACTCAGCAATAATCAAGTCTTGTCCCTGTAGCCTCACATCACTAATCTAAGATCCTAGACTAGGGGAGGGGAACGTCTATCCTGAGGGCCGTGTGGTGGTGGTGGTGGTGGTGGTGAAGTGCCTTCGAGTCAGTTCTGACTCATAGCAACCCTGTGTAGGGTTTCCATAGCTGTAATCTTTAGGGGAGCAGAAAGCCTCAGCTTTCTCCCACGGAACCTCTGGTAGTTTTGAACTGCTGACTGTGAGGTTAGCAGCCTGACTTATAACCACTACACTACCAGAGCTCCTTGCAGGCTTTATAAGACCAGCAAAATCATTTGGTCTGGCTCAGCCAAGGTGACTGCAGTTCCAGCCATAACATTGCTGTTAATGTCATTGAGTCAGTTCCGAATGACCCATAGCGACCCTGTATAGGGTTTCTGAGGAGCAGCTGGTGAGCTTGAACCACTGACCGTGCAGTTCAAACGGCTTTGCAGTCTGGCGCATTAACCCACAGCACTACACCAGGACTCCAGCCATCACAATAGGAGTGAGTTAATTCAATGTTTGACCAAATAGAGCAGGCTAATTTTCAAGTTGATGATTTTGTATTGTGTACGAATGATGACATAAATTTTGGCAGGATAAAAGCTCCCCACACCTGTCCCAGACCTTGAAGTCAGGCTTGCCCTTTTCTCATACCATGACTACTGCTGAACCAGTTTTTCCCTCTTACTTCCAGCCTGCAAACCCTTAGTCCTTCCTTACCCAGCTGCTCAAGCCCTTAAAGCTCCAGAATTCTGACCCTGTTTTCCTTCCTCCAAGCCTGGTCTCATCATCTCTAATTTCCTTTCACTTCCTTGTGCAGACCCACGTACCATCCTTACAAATGGCCTAACTAGGCAATTTCTTTGCCTGCTTCTGACCCACTAAGTGTTGCTGTGGGTCAGAATACAGACAAATTCATCTACAAATATATAGCTATCCAACTCAGTATGTTTCCTACTCAACCCCCAGACTCACCCCCAGAACTATAAGCAAATGTCTCTGCTTCATACTGTATCAAGATAATGTCGGCCATATGATAGACCTCAGTCTCCCTGCTTTCTATCTGGACAGTTCTCTGTCCTTACCAGTTGTCTCCATCGTCTCCTTCCAAGTAATAACTATCCCCTTTCCTCTTCCTAAGGATGGACTCTTCATGTGGAACTGAGTCTCTGCCTTCCTGCCTCTTCCAGAACTGTCCCTTTTCCATCTTGCATCATCTTTACTGAGTTCTTCTTTCAAGTCTACAGACTTGTTCTAGACCTCTTTCTCTTTCAAAAGCCGTAAGCCATTTTTTAGAAAATGATATTCTATTGTGTTTTCTGTGACAGTTTGAACAGCAAATTCGTTTCCCATTTAACAATATATAAGTTGTTCCATGACAGTTGGTTGTACTTTTTACGTTATGTTAGAATTTTCATTTCCATTCTGTTTGTTTCTATTAATCTAATTTTCCTGCCCCTCTATCTTCTCTTCTTTAGGGTAAGTCTTAGCCAGTTGGTCTCATACTTAGGAATCACTTAAGGGAACGCCTATCTTATGTGTGCTGTTGTTTATTTTATAGCCAATCTCTTATTTGGATGAAAGGTTGCCACTATGTTGCCAAACCAAAACAAGGGTTTGTCGCTTGTCACTGTAGTCAATCACAGAGACAGGGAGAGCTCCAATACAAGCTTTATTAGCAGAAAGCCAACAGTCTGGAGGACAAAGAGAATAACTTCTCAAGATTGTCCTGTCCATTAGGAAGAGCAGGCAAATTATATAAGGTAAGTTACATTTGGATATACACTTAATCTATTTTAACATCAAGATAACATTTTTTGGGAAACGAAGCAATAAAGCAATAAACTTCTTCAAACATTCTACCTTTAGGGAAAAGGAAACAACCAGGCAATAATCCTCAAATATTCCACCTTTTAGGATCCAAGTTGCTTAGTTCCTGAGATAACTATCTGGGTGGGCTTAAGCACATCCTGTTCTCCTTCTAGGACCATGAGGACATCTCGGCTAATTTTTAAACTAACTGCCTCATGTGCAGGGTCTTCATTTATCAAGACCTAAGTAAGGAGCTCTGATAATGTAGTGGTTATGAATCGGATGCGAACCATAAGGTCAGCAGTTCGAAACTACCAGCTGCTCCACGGGAGAAAGATGAGGCTCTCTGCTCCCGTAAAGATTTATAGCCTCGGAAATCCTGTTCAGGGTCGCTATGGGTGGGAACTGACTCGACGGCACATAACAACAACAATGAGCTCTGGAAGCTTAGTAGTTACGAATTGGGCTGCGAACCGCAAGGTCAGCAGTTCAAAACTACCAGCTTTTCCATGAGAGAAAGATGAGGCTTTCTGCTCCCATAAAGGTTTACAGCCTCGGAAACCCTGTACAGGGTTGCTATGAATCAGAACCGACTCCGCGGCTCATAACAACAATGACTAACCCAACTCCATTTTGTTTAGGTTCATAGATCCATGCTATCAACTTACTAAATGTGGCTTCAGTCCAAGTTCAAAGACTATCTTAGAGCAGTAGTCTTGGCTTCCTCTATCAGCCCAGTAAGTCTGGCCTCTCTTAGGAATTTTACTTTTGTTCTGTATTTTCTCCCATTCTACCTGGAACCTTGGAGTCCAGGTGTGGTGCTGTAGGTTAATGGGCTAGACTGCAGTCA